ACCCTAAGGGTCAAGCAATCAAGCAACAAGCAGCAGGAGCATGCAGGAGGAATAAAATCCCTTACACGCGATACCCGGAGGCAGCCGACTGACCACTGTCAGTCGAGACGTCCGCTGCCGCCACAAAGCGGGCGGCCGCGGACGGAGAAAGGGCAGCCGCCGACAAGGAGCCGGCGTTGCCCGGGGTTCCGCCTGGGGCAGCGGACGGAGGGAGGCTGGACACATGAACACGGTACCGCTCGAGGTAGTCCTCCTCGCTAGCCTCCGAGTCAGCGGTAGCCGAGTCAGTGGTAGCCGCCCTTGACGGCGGCGACGCCGCGGCAATGCCCAAGGACCGGCGTGACCCGACCGATGCCGGGGAGGAAGCAGGCGAGCTCGGACCAGCAGCAAGCACCCCAGTGGTGTCGAGCTCTCCGGAGGCACCCGACGTCACAGTGAGGGACGGAGACGCCTCGCCAGCTCCGCGCCGATCGTCGGGGCCACTCGAAGGGTTTCCCCCATCGGAGTCGGAGACCTCCGGCGAAGACTCCCCCTCGGGCGACTCGACAAAGTCCGAGGAGGAGCTGTCCTCTGGCTCGAGAAGTGCTTGCGCCCGCAAGGGCGTCATGCGCCTCGCACCAGACAAGAGCGCCTCCAGCGTCAGCTGCATGGTGAGGCGCTGATAGGTGGCGGCGCGTTTGCGAGCCAAGACCTCAGCAGCAGGTCCGTCATCAGGCACGAAGTGCCGACCAAACGCCGCATCCTCAAGAGGCATTGAGCGCTGAGCAATGATGTCCGCCAAATACCAGATGAAGCGGAGGGTGTCAGGATGCAGGGTACCGTCCGTCGAGATGGCAAGAGGGATGAACGCTCGAGGAGGAGTAGTCATGGCATATGCAGCGCGATGTTTGCGAATCTTCTCAGACGCTGCAACATATATAGGATTTACTGGCAGAAGATAAAAAGTGCCTCAAGCAAAACAAAGCAGGAACAAGCTGAACCGGCAGGTACACAGTCCACAGCGAGAAGCTGCACAATCACACACAAAACACAAGCCCGAAAAGAACCAGCACTGCTGGCACCCAGGTAC